AAGAAGGTGATACATAACAGTGAACATTGCAACAGATTACGATCCTCTCCATTATAAAGGGACCTCCTCACCTGTTCCATTGCACTACAGTTCAAGTCCCTTTATGGACACGCCCCCTGGAACATTTCTGTTTCGCACATTCTGAGAAATGATAGTACGGTGAGATGCCACTTGTAAAGCAACCAAACAGTGCTTTTCCACAGTGCAACATACTTAAAGCTCACCTGGATGGCACATGGTTTCAAAGTATATGCCTTTCTGAACCACAGCCAATATATTTACAATATGGATATTGACGATGTGCAAACGCTTTTAGTATTTCTACTGTTTCCCACCAGGTCTCAGACTGCAGGCCATCATGGCAAGCGAAGAAATCAGACAAGTCTGAGTTTACCTGCTGTTCTTTGCATTTGAGTAGAGATATCTGATTAGAGATGTTCTCCTTTCCAGGGAACTTTGCAAGTTTCCAGTTCAAACCAAGAAAAAAAATGCATGTTTTAAAGCCACACTTTCTCAAACAACACTGCCCCAACTAAATATATTTTATTTATTAAATGGATACTTTCCCATGTGGAAAGCATGAAGCTATTATGGTCTGTTTATAACCACTTTGCATGCCACTGTAAAGACTGCTGTATTTCTATCTAAGAATGGTTTCAGCTCATTAGCGGTAACAATTATGAAAGGCAGCTACAGATGAACTCCTCCTGGAATCTCCAGTGGAAGCAAACAGGAAAAGCTCCACCTTACAGGAGCACTGCACCTGAGCCACTCACCTGCTAAGGACCCCTTCTTGCCAGCATTCACACGCATCATGATGTCATTCAGTGTCAGGTCCCCTGACATTAAATCCGGGTGGTTCTATATAAAGGAGACAGGGGCACGAAGTAAGAACAATGAGCTCTATGTGGAACTGCCCTTGAGAACTGTACAAGAAGCTACAGTTGTGGAATGCTGCTGCTAGAATGATGATTGGAGAGAGTCATAGGGACCATATCACTCCAGTTGTTTGCCATCTATGCTGGCTCCCAATTTGCTTCTAGACCCAATCAAGGCACTGGTACTGACCCTTAAAGCCCTATGTGGATTGGGCTTTGAAGCCCTATATATCCCTCACATCAGCCTACCTGTCCACTACCAGAGAGCCAGTTTGGTGTAGTGGTTAAGTGTGCGGACTCTAATCTGGGGGAACCGGGTTTGATTCCCCACTCCTCCACTTGCACCTGCTGATGTGACCTTGGGCCAGTCACAAGCTCTGGCACAGCTGTCCTTGAAAAAGAGCAGTTTGTGTCAGAGTTCTCTCAGCCCCACCGACCTCACAGGGTGCCTGTTGTGGGGAGGGGAAGAGAAAGGAGTTTGTAAATCGCTCTGAGACTCCAAGTGAAGGGCGGGGTATAAATCCAATCTCTTCTTCTCTCTTCTTCACGAGCAGTTCTCGAAAGAGCTCTCTCAGCCCCACCTACCTCACAGGGTGTCTGTTGTGGGAAGGGGAAGGGAAAGGAGATTGTAAACCACTCTGAGACTCCTTTGGGTAGTGAAGGGGGAGGGTATAAATCTAATCTACTTTTTCTTCTACCTGCCTCAGCCACTATATCCCACTGTTGGACCTCCAGAGCAACTGGTTGGCCACTGTGTTCAATAGGATGCTGGACTAGATGTACCACTGGTTGACCAAGCAGGGCTCTCCTTATGTTCATGCAAGTTCTGAATACTTAAGGGCACATCTGTCTTCAGAAAAGGAGGTACTGCAGACCTCCCACTTTCCCCCATGCTGTTCCCCAGAAGAAACATTCAGGGGCTCAAGAGGCTGCAGTGGGAAAGTCTGCTCTGCAAGCCGACCTCATTGGATACAAGCTACTCATGTATACTGGATACACTGGGGAGAAAGCCATTCTCTTCCATTAGAACTACAAAAGGTGACCAAAGTGGACCACCCAAGATTCCAGCAGGTCTGAAAATTAGGCCTCTTAAAACCTGCCTGATTCCCACTGAGCTTTCCGCAAGGTCAGCATATTAGTTAGCATGCCCTGCAGCTACAATACACTTAAACATTTGTACACGTTCCGAAAGAATTTGAAGATACAGCTCAGGATTTTGTTGATCACCTCTGTCCCACACCTGAATACACAAAATAAACAATACAACCCTCTAGAGTATAGAATAAGAGCTAGTTGAGTCTCATCACTTCCATATTATATTTTAAAAATCTGAAGTGTGAAATGGGCTTACAGTAACTGACAAGGCCATACAGGTAACAGTACCATGTTATCCCAGGCCCACTGAGCTCTCAAGGATGAAAGCCCACTCCCCGCCATAGATCTGGTGAGGCTGGTGGTCCTGTTTCATTTGGCTTCTCTATGGTGCTAAGGAAAACATAGAGGAAAAAGCGGTCTCCTGGTTAGCTTACAGGCTGGAGCTTGCGTTTCTCATGGTGCTTCCTCAACATCATCTTCAGATCGTTCTCACCAAATTCCAGTTTATCTGGGAAAAGGAAGGGGGGGGGAGGGCTTCAATCCTATTGAAAGTTTACTGTGAACACATCACAACACAGAGAGAACTAAACTACCTCCACCTACAACAAATTCAAAGTTTCATAGTTAATATAACATCCAGCCGGACCTCGATGGCCCAGGCTAGCCCAAGCAGGGTCAGCCCCGGTCAGTATTTGAATGGAAGATCACCAAAGAACACAGAGGCAGGCAATGGCAAATTACCTCTGAACATCTCTTCCCGTGAATAGGGGTGTGCAAAAAAAAAAAATTTCGGCCCAAACTCGCAGGTTAGCTGCTGGAGCCTCTCCCCAAGATACCAACCAAGTTTCAAGAGCATTGGACCAAGGGGTCCAATTCTACGGGCCCTCAAACAGGTTGCCCCTATCCCTTCCATTGTTCTCTATGGTGGGGAAAAAGTTACTTTTAGCAGCAGATGAACCTTCAAAGAATCTGGAAGAACTAGCTCCAGAAATCCTACATCAACAAAGTGAACTCACATCATCTACTGAACAAAACTTTCAGGGCGGACCAGAATTCAGTACCTTTTTTCAGCTATTTTGGATCGTACCTGCTGTTTTCATGTCTTGGGTTGATAACGTGGGGATTACTCTGAGGGGAACAGCTGGACTCGGACAATGTGCTGGAGAATTTGGAATCCAGGAGCTTAGATCTGAAATGTGGAATGGGAACTGTAAAGTCACAGGGGTTCCACAACGGCAGAAAAGAACGCAAGCTTTATTTTCCTAGAAAGCATATACTCATATACATCTAAACCAGTTGGGAATGTCTATATTTTCAACTAACAGACCTGGATAAGTGTTGGATCTACTTACTTTGTCATAGAAACACACGCAGAATACAATGACTGGTAGTCAGGTCTATTTTGTAATTACATTTCGGAATAAGGGATCTGAATAACAAAACTACTTAGATGCCCCAGACAGCATGCAAAATTATTTAAGGGTGTTGTATACTCCAAAGAAGGATAGACTGCTATTTCTGGTTTTCCTCTCTAAACAAAAAACACAATTCCCAAGCAAAGGTAGTGTGCAAAGAAGACAACATTAGAGAGGAAGCACGTGTGCTGCCTTAATAGGAAAATCCGTCCATACGAACAGACTGGGAACAAATCCAGATGCTCACTTGGAAGCAGATCTGCTCTGCCCTATTTTGCTAAGAGCCCAACCATAAAAAACGGTGGTTTGCCAAAATTTAGAGGGGCGTGTACTAGTAATCCCTCTGCTAGCAAAAATACGGCAAGCTGTTATTTATGCATGTACAACCCATCTGTGGCAAGGGTTCAGGTGACGTTACATCGTATGAAAAAGAAAACCTCTATCATAAGGACACGTAGATAAAAAAGCACAGGTTAACACATATACTTTATGCATACGCTTTTAGATGGCTTGTAGCTTGATTTCCATGTTGAGGTTCCTGGCCATAGGACAATTTTAGCCAACAAGGCATTAACAACTTGTAATGAACTTAGGCAGATTGTGAGAGGGAGGGCAGGAAGGAATGATCCAGTGTTTGGGTCTTGAGGACCTTTCTTATAGGAACCAGGTAATGCCGATCACCAGGCCGATCGTCAGGAAGGAATTTTCCTCCAGGCCACATTGGCCCAGGGAACCCGAAATTGTTTTACCTTCCTCTGGGCATAGAGCAGGGGTCACTGCGGGAGTGGGGGGGGAGGTA